ATAATAATAATAATAATAATAATAATAATAATAATAATAATAATAATAATAATAATAAAAAGGTTATTCAAGAAAATAAAACAATTACTTAGATACATAGAGAGATGCTGAAAAGTGTTTAATCATTGGTAAACTTATACTAGTACGACACGCGAACTTACCCTTTGAAAAGTGTGGCTGGTATAGAGTGCTCAGCCGCGTGTGTGTGAAGAGTTTATATATACATGTATCGAGTCTAAATTACACATTGAAATCTGTTTCTGTATAATAATTGTACGTCGGACCAGCAGAAAGAGGCCTTATTGTTTGTTTGTTTTTTAGATGAGGACCCAATCGGCCTCGTAGGTAAATTAGGTAATCAAGAGGAAAAAAGGGTGTGCAATTATTGAGAAGTGGCGTAATGTATGATTGATGTGATTGGCATATGGTATTGATTTCAACATGTTTCACTGCACCATATATTTCTATAATTCAGCATGCATTGTTCGTTTGTTCGTTTGTTTGTTTATGAAACGTTCCTCCATTCTCCATCTGTGTCTCTTTTCCTTTTTGATTTCTAGTTCTTTCTGTATATATAGAGATTATACTTTTAACTTTGATTGTTTATTTTGTATTAGAATAATAATCTTTTTCCCCTTCCTCTACGTCATAAAGATTATAATTATGATATCAGGCTATTATTGATTGACATAATTTGATTGATTCCGGCACGGTGTTGGTAAACCTTTTGAAGAGTTGAGATAATGGAAAGAGATGATAACGTGGCTGGAGTGAAAGGACTATAATGTTAAACCAGTCATAAAGTCCAGCTTTGACAATAATTAGAAAGTTTCTCTTTAGTTTTATCCGACCCATTCTCCCTACAATTCACGGTAGGCCTAATTGAATTGAGAGTGGAAAATGTAATTATTATGGCGAATTTTTAAACATTAAATCTCACGTTTCTTTCATTTCCTTTCTCAACCACTTTTTTTTTTTTTCATTTGTAAGTTTCAGACATTGAACTTTCATAACTTAACTTTCATCGTCTATAAATGTGACATTTCTCTGATATGATCTGTGTGCTGCTAATAGATTTTAATAGATTGTATGAATGCGGTTTCATTGTGTAGTTTCGGTGCGTGGTTTCCAAATAGGCCTATATATAATATATAAAACTTTCTGTAATAACTTTTTGATTAGCCCTTAAAAGAACGTCAATTTATGAATGCATGGTAAACAGATGTTAACGTGCTCAAAGGTTTCTTTTAAGTGTGAAGGAGCGGCGCATACATCAAACTCACTCTCTCGCTTGGGTACTATATGTGTACATGTATGTATTTGATAGCAAGATAAACACATGACGATCAGGATACATACTCGGTGGTTACCCCACGCTGTAGCATCCAGACCAGTATGACACACCCGTACATAATATTATTGCATATATACATGTGTATAT